CCATCCATTCACTCACCCATCCATTATCCATCCATCCATCCATTCATCCATCCATTCACTCACCCATCCATTATCCATCCATCTATCCACCCATCCATGCATCCATCCATTCATCCATCCACACATCCACACATGCATCCATCCATCCATCCATTCACTCACCCATAATCCATCCATTCACACACCCATCCATCATCCATCCATCCATCCATCCACACATCTATCCATCCATCCATCCATCCAACCATTTATCCATTTATTTATCTGTCATCTACCTATTATAGAATATAATATTTGAGGTTTGTCAACATTATGCCAATGTCAACATTATGCCAATGTCAACATTATGTCAATCTGTGAGGAAGGTCCCTTTCTCCACATAGCCATCCATCATACATCCACACATCTGTCCATGGAGATGTGGAAGGAAGAAAGGTCCCTTTCTCCACATTTTCACCATTTCACTGAATGGTAAATAGCTACTACTTGTCAATTTCTCCTCTACTTTTTTGTCAACCTGAGCTCACCTGTGAGCTGTCTGTGCTTTGCCTCCTTTTCATAGTTCAGGTCTAATAAAGGCTGTATATTTCTAGTAAGAAGTTCTATCTTTTCACGGACACGTGAACTAATTTTTAAAAAGAGCGCTCATTCATCTCATACCGAGAGGCAAAACACAGCAGAACATCTGTAAGTTGACCACCTGATGGACGGTAACAAACTGGTCAACATGCAGAGTTAGTCAACATAAGGAACTAGGCTTGCTGTACTGATACGTACATGTGTTGTGTGTCTGATCTATGAAATCTAGGTCACTTTAAGGAGGTGGTCAGAGTAGGGTGGTGGTTAGCTATGGAGGTCCTACAGTATTTAACTTTGGGGGTTTAACAGTTCTTCAACAAAATTCATAATATAATTATATCATTTTAATGAATTATTATCATACTTCAGATTTTTTAAAAACCAGAGTCTTATGGTCATAGGAAATACATGATTTTCTTTTTCTTCTTCTTCTTCTTTTTTTTTTAGAGACAGGGTATTTCACTTTATTGCCCTCAGTAGAGTGCCGTGGCGTCCCGGCTTATGGCAACCTCTAGCTCTTGGGCTTAAGTGATTCTCTTGCCTCAGCCTCCCGAGTAGCTAGGACTATAGGCGCTTGCGACAACACCTGGCTATTTTTTTATTGCAGTTTGGCCAGGGCCAGGTTCAAATCCACCACCCTCGGTATATGGGGCCAGTGCCCTACCCACTGAGCCACAGGTGCTGTCCAATACACGATATTCTTAAAAGTTGGTTTCTATGTATATGCATGTTTATGGTACAATATGATGACTTTCAAGAATAAACGTGTATTATATTAGGGTAAAATTCAGAGGGTTTGTGGAATGGAAATTTATGCTCAAGGAAAATAATTACATATAGTTTCTGACTATGTAAGAAAATTGGCTCATGTATTCTTAAGATAGGTGACAGTAAATAAAAGTTCATATATTATATGGATATCTCTAAAAATGATGCCATTGCTTTGTTCAAAGTTGACAGATTTATTACATGTCAAAAATGACATGCTCTGCAACTTGTGAAAAATGCAGCTATCAACAACCTGAGGAATGTTAACTGGACGTGTGGGGATGATGTATAATTTCCAAAGAATCTGTTGGAGGGACATAAGCAAAAATTTTGAAGACTCTTGCACCACAGGACTCACTGGAGTAGGGCAGGGTACCTGGGGCTCTGGGACTGATACTGGCTCGGCCTCCAGGGAAGTGACTGCCAGGGATTGAAGGGCCAGTGCTTCCTGCTGCAGCCTCACACAGGGAACAGGCATGCTCCCTCTAAAGACAAACTGGGTGTCCAGAGGAGAGAGACCCTCTCCCAAGCCCAGCATCATCCACTTAACCCCACTGCCAAGCTAGTATGAAGGGAAGAACTGGCACCAAAGTAGAATGCAGCATAGCTATATACCGTCCTACCCACCTGTGGCAGTGGCGAGGTTGCTAAGCCACAATGAGGAAAGCACATCATTCCCAGGGCCTCTAAGCACTTGGGTCTCCAGGACCCAGAACTGGAGCTGGGATGAAGGCAGAAGGTCAGAAGTTGATTCTCTGACTCTCTGGGAGGTCGCACCTTTAAAGACTGAGAGCCTGGAATTGTGGATTCACCAGTCCGCTCTCAACTCCCCCTGTGCCACTTGTTATCTGTGGGAACTTGGGTATAGCTCTTCACCTCTGTCAAACAGTTTCTGTTCCCCAGCATTTCAAAGTACTTTGAGCTTGCAGCATCGTTTAAAATGACTCAGTGCTATCATTTAATCGTAACTATGGCAGCTCAGGTTTCTCACTATAATTTTCTAGGCCTTTCATTCTCTCCCATGTGCCACTACTTGCCGTATTGAGACAAAGGAGTGCAAACATACAACAAAGAGTCAGCCCCTTTTGTCTTCAAGAAGAAAATTCTACATACGGTCCTGTTAGCACATTTGTATTATGGCTTAAAGGGCATCCCCTGTGTTTCCTCAATGTTAATCATTTGTGTATAATTATTTGCATCCTCTCCTCTTTTTTTGCGGGGGTGGGGGGGATCTCTGGTATCACCTACACTGTTGTTCTCTAAATGTGCTTGCTTTTTAAAACTTAGATAAGTTGGTTATAAAAGGAAGTTATTTACCTATTAGAAATGGAAAAAAAGAACCATTTACCCTAAGTTAATGAGAACTGCAAAATATAAACACATGGGAATATTAGATTCTAATTCTGAGCCTGAAGCCAGCTTTATTTTGGTTGGCAAAATGTTGAAACTGGCTGCAAAAGCACCTACCTGGGACTATCCCCTTCCAGTTACCAAAGCAATTAAGAATTAAAACGGTAACCTCCTCTCTACAGGACTCAATTTCAGCTTTGATTGATACAGACCTAAAATCACCTCTTATACCCCAGGGATATGTGCCTCATCCTTCAGGTACAGCGACATCAGCTCTTGTGAGAATGAACTAAGAATGAACTGAAATGTAAATTCGTGGTCAAGGCTAAGAAGAGCGGCTCCTCCAGATCCGGATTTGGCAGTGGAGAGCTACTGCTTGAGGTTTCACAACCATCTGTGTAAACACCCACAAGTGTGCTGGGCCATAGATGTCAAAATCAAGACCCTATTTAAAGTAAACAGGTAAGCAAGGGAACTTGCTTATTGGTTTTGGTTTTTCCTTATTTTCCTGAACTTTTGTAAACAAAATGAGGTAGGATCTAAAAGCTACAGAGGACACTGAGGCAGACCCCCACTGTGGAAGGTGGCAGCCACCAGCTCCATGTGGCTATTTTAAATTTACATTTAAATTAATCAGTTTTAAATAGAATTAATGATTCATTTCTTTAAACTAGCCACCTTCAGATAGGGCATTTCCTTTATCTCAGAAAGTTCTACTGGACAGTGCTGGTCTGGACAGCCCTGCCCCATAGCTGACTCATGGGGCAGGGCTCTCTCAATTTGTTAGCATGGCCCCATCAAGGGGCAGAATTTCAAACTACAGGTGATGGGCCAAATCCAGGCACTGCCTCAGTATCCTCAGAGCCCAGGGTCATCTGCATTTCCGTATCAGCTGCTGTATCTTGTTGGCTGTCTAGGGCTTCTCTGCCTCTCTGTGTCATGCTATTTTTCTACCTGTACATGAACGAAGGCTGGATTGAGTGTTGCAAGCAGTAGGCAGCCTGTGTTTGCCTAAAGGTGTGACAGGCCCGCTCCGGAGGGGACAGGGTCAGGTTACTACAGCAGGGACCAAACAATGTCCTTAGATAACATACTTAGAATAACTTACATCAGTGATGCTTTGAATAATTTCAAAACTGGCCACATTCTCATCCCATTTCTCACGCAGGCCCCCAGCAGTCGGCTTTACACAGTCCCACACCTCCTCGGGTGTCCCCAACACAATGCCTTCGCCTCGGTACCTGGAGCAAGCACAAAAAAGTAATTTGATCCCAAGGCGTCAATCAAGTGTGTTCATCTTGGGGTTACATCTAAGGACGACAGGGTGGACCATGCCATGTCTGTTACTGCTCTTTAGGATGGACCTGCAGAGAAGACACTGGAACTTACTAGCCCACCTCCTCCCCAGCCTGCAGAAATGATGGTAAGCTTTCTCAATAATATGATTTGCTGGAAATAATTTAGTTAAGAACAGAAGTTAATGCTTTTCTGGAAGATAATTGGCGAGGTGATCACAGGTTGCTAGGGCTGATTATAGGAAGCAAACTCACAGAAACACCAGGCAGGGTGAGGCATCTCTGATAAGCTTAGAACAAGGCATGCACTTACAGGTTCCCTGGAAACTCCACAGATGGCCTCCAGGAAACAGAAACTCCATTCTGTCAAAAGGCACAGAACCACAGGAGAATTTTAGAGCTATAAGTGCTCTGAGGATCACTGACTCAATCCCTGTTCTACAGAAGAGGGGTCTGAGGCCTCAAGAGATGCAATCTCCAAGGCAGTCCAGACTCACACAGGGCAGAGCTGGAAAGAGTCCTGGACAAACCTGTCTACACAGCAGAATGCGATAAAGAAAGAGATCTTAACTGGCCGAGTCCAAGAGCTGTGGGTGGCTTTCAAATCACCTCAAAAGCAACCACGCATTTAGTTTCCCTAGCCAATTTAGGACTATTTGTTAAAAATCAGAAGTGTTGAGTAAGCAAAACTATGTCGATGCTACCCTCTGGGAACAAAAAAGACAGGGGCTCTTGCTACAATGAACACAGCAAAGGCTTCCAAGCCAAGCCAGCCCGGTGACCTTGGGCAAGCCGCTCAATGAAAGGAACTGATAACTTACTTCCTGGGGTCTTGTGAGCACAACAGGCCCAATCTTTTTTTTAAAGACAACAGCCAGTGAAATCCCTGTCAATCTACTCGGGAGTACTGGGATACAGGAATCAGCGCGGAGAGGAGACGCCGGGGGTGGGGTGGGGTGGGGGGGTGCGGGGCTTCTGGGTTCCCGCCCCACGTGCAAAATCTCGGGAACCCCTTCCCGCCCGGATGCTCACTCACGCTTTCCCGGCATATCTTCCAGCCTGACGCGTCTCGCCGGTACTGGAGCACCTTTTCCGCCACAGCCTCGCTTATCTCAGCGGCCTGCGCCGAGTCCATCGCGTAGTGAGTGCACAAGGCCGAGGGGTCGCGGCTGGCAGAGGTGTCTCTGCTGCTGGTGGATCCAGGCGGCCAGACTGCCGGAGCCCCGCCCCAATCCCCGCCCCAAGCCCTGCCCTAGAGTACCCGCCCCCTAGCTAGGATTGGTCCCGATCCTCAGACGAATCCCGCCCCGCCCTGAGATTGGCAGGGCTGCTCTGAGAGCGCAGAGCCAGGATCGGCCCAGCAGGTCAACGTCTGCGAGGTGCCGGGCGCTCCAGTCAATGTCCTGCAGTCTCCACTCCGCTCTGTCCGGGTCTGGGAGGGGCTCTGGAGCACTGCGACTCTGAAATGGCCAGTGACAGAGACCAAGTGGGCCCGCCACATCACCAACAGCGTCATAAGTTTGATTAAGAAGAGTGCACCGAGGCAGCAGGACAGTGGGGCCCTTTGCATCAGAAATAACCTTCTCTCTCGGGAGGCTGGGGCATGGTGGGAGAGGGAATGCAATGCGCGTGGAGACTGGATGCCAGTTAGGAGACTGCGGCGACAGTGAGGGGCGTGGGTCAGGTGTGGGAGAGCGCAGGCGGAGAGAAGAGTGCTGAGAACACAGAATGTGGTGGAGGAAGCGTCCTGAGATGGGGAAGAGAGAGGCTTGAGGGGGAGATTGAGACTTCAGTTCTGGACATTCTTAGTCGGAGGGCCCTGAGGGGAGAAGCTGGATTCTCTGCTGCTGTCGCTGACGTCTGGGAGCGGCCGGAGTTCTCCGTGTCTAGGTGGGCTGGACCTGCGAGGAGGGCGAGGGCTCGCCTCTTCCCAGCGTGAGTGGCGCGGCCAGCCTCAGATTCCTCCTCTAAAGCGCCATAACCAGCTAAATATTTGAAGAAGTCAATACTGACATCTGTTTATGTGCTTATCTTTTTGTTTTTGTGTGAGTATGTGTTATTTGGTCTCCTTTAAAGTTTTGAAAGACATGTTTGGAGGAGTGGTGCAAACAAAACGTTTTTGGAAGTCCTGTTTCTATGTGCTGGGCCGCCAGGCTGTGAAGAAGACCCGGATGAGGACTTAGGGAGCTGAAGGCCTAACTGAGTGTTTCACACATTATTTACTGTGTGATCTGGGGCAAGTCACTTAGACTCTTTGAGGTTCAGCTTACTCCGAGGTGGAATGAGATGATAATAAATGTTCCTCCATGCCCCTGTGAAGAGCAAGTGTAGTGATGTGTATGAATACTCCTAGGAGCCATAAAAGATGAGACTGATAAGCCAATTGCATTTTAAAAGTGAAACATATTGAAATATCATAAAAAGTTAGAGAATAAGGGCAGCGTCTGTGGCTCAAAGGAGTAGGGCGCTGGCCTCATATGCTGGAGGTGGTGGGTTCAACCCAGCCCTGGTCAAAAATATAAAAACAAACAAACAAAAAAGTTAGAGAATAATCTGAGAAAACTCTAGGACATATTTTAACCAAAAGTAAATTTTCTTATTGAACAAAATGCGCTTACAAATCTTTAAGACATTTTATCTACCCTATAGATAAAAAGAAGGCATCATACATGGATTTGCCACTTTGTGGAAAAGTAAACTAACATGGCTAGAAAAGATATAAAAAGATGCAGAACCCCCTCACAGGTAGGGAATTATAAATTAAGACAAGGAGAGACTTCTTTCACCTATCTAATGGACAAACATGAAGAGGTTTGTGAATATCCTGTGTTGGCGAGTGTGTGGAGAAGTAGTTGTTCTTAGACATTGTGGATGAGAGTTTAAATTTACGCAACCTTATGAGAGCAACATAATTGCATATATTAAGATGTTACTCTGTTTGTTCCTTTACCCAGCAACTCCTCCTGCAGAAGGATGCATAACCTTCCTCTTACAATTGGAAGCAACCTATTTATGAATGTATTAAGACAAAGTAGCGGGTTGTCCATTTAGTGGAACTGTATGTAGCCATCAAGGTAATGTAGCACAGATGAAGGAGGGCAGAGCTGGAGCAGACAGGACCTGCTCAGCAGAGCCCAGGCACAGAGCGAATCTGGCAACGAGATTTGCTATGAGTAGACTATTCTAATCAAAAGCAGTTTTTTCTCTATAAAGAAAATGAATGAGATTTAACTTACTAAATATTGTTTAAGTTCTTGCCCTCTCCCAAGAAAATGGTTTAAATATGTACCAACAGGGAAAGATACCATTTTTTATCTATTTATCTATTATATATATAAACAATATAATAATAAATATTTTATATATATATATCTTTAAGTCAAAAAAATACCAATCAAAGGGCAACAACATTGTGGATAGGACAGTCCATACTCCAGTCAGAATGCCTGGGTTCAACTACCAGCAGCACTACTTACTAGCCATGACCTTGGGAAGTAACTGATCATTCCAGTTTTGGCATCCTGTTTTGGAAAGGATGGTGGGGGCATCTATGCTTATGGTTTTGAGAAGCCTTCCGCTATTCAGCAGAAAGCTATTATTCCTTGTATTAAAGGGTATGATGTGATTGCTCAAGCTCAGTCAGGTACTGGCAAGACAGCCACATTTGCTATTTCCATCCTGCAACAGTTGGAGATTGAGTTCAAGGAGACCCAAGCACTAGTATTAGCCCCCATCAGAGAACTGGCTCAACAGATTCAAAAGGTAATAGGTAATTCTGGCACTTAGAGACTATATGGGAGCAACTTGTCATGCTTGCATTGGTGGGACAAATGTTCAAACTGAAATGCAAAAACTTCAGGCTGAAGCACCACATACTGTAGTTGGTATACCAGGGAGAGTGATATGTTAAACAGAAGACACCTCTCTCCGAAATGGATCAAAATGTTTGTTTTGGATGAAGCAGATGAAATGTTGAGCCAAGGGTTTAAGGATCAAATCTTTGAGGCTTTCCAAAAATTAAATACAAGTATTCAGGTTGTGTTGCTTTCTGCTGCAATGCCAACTGATGTGTTGGACGTGACCAAAACATTCATGAGCGATCCAATTCGAATTCTGGTGAAAAAGGAAGAACTGACCCTTGAAGGAATCAAACAGTTTTATATTAATGTTGAAAGAGAGGACTAGAAGTTGGATACACTTTGTGACTTGTATGAGACACTGACCATTATGCAGCCTGTTATTTTTCTCAATACAGCGCAAGATGAACTGGCTCACTGAGAAAACGCATGCCAGGGACTTCACAGTGTCTGCTCTGCATGGTGACATGGACCAGAAGGAAAGGGATGTCATCACGAGGGAGTTCTGGTCAGGGCCAAGCTGTGCTCTGATCACTACTCACTTATTGGCTCATGGGATTGATGTGCAACAAGTGTCTTTGGTTATAAACTATGACCTACCTACCAGTCATGAAAACTATATTCACAGAATTGGCAGAGGGGGTTGATTTGGGAGGAAAGATGTGGCTATAAACTTTGTTACTGAAGAAGACAAGAGGATTCTTCGTGACATTGAGACTTTCTACAGCACTACAGTGGAGGAAATGCCCATGAGTGCGGTTGACCTTATTTAATTCCTGGGATGAGAGAGTTTTGAATGCAGTGCTCGCTGTTGCTGAATAGGCGATCACAATGTGCACTGTGCTTCTTTGGGAATATTTGAATCTTGTCTCAATGCTCATAATGGATCAGAAATACAGATTTTGATAACAAAGTGACATTAGTTGTGAGCTCTTGTGAGGAAAATCATTGGCTTTATCCTCTTTAGAGTTAGATTGTTGGGGTAGGTATAAAAGATGGGGCTGTAAAATCTTTCTTTCTTAGAAATTTATTTCCTAGTTATGTAGAAATGGTTGCATTAGATGTTCTTCATCATTTAATAATACACTTGTGGACTAAAAGATACAAGTACGGTATAAAATCAGCCAATTATGTTAAACTAGCATATCTGCCTTTATTGTGCTTGTCATTAGCCTGAATAGAAAGGCCTTTAAAATTGATTTTTTTTTTAGAAAGCATTTGAATGCGTTTTTTTTTGGTATTGTATTTATTCGATAAAGTATTTAATTAGAGCTAAGTGTGAACTGGACTCTCTTGGTAAGCCCCAGCAAGCAATCATATCCTAAGTATGGTTAAATCCCCAGTAAAATTGCCATATTGCACATGTCTTAATTAAGTTTGAATGTTAAATAAATTGTATATTCACTTTAAAAAAATAAAATAAATGAGTAGCAATTAGAATGGAGCTGGGCATACAGTAAATATTTATATATAATACTATATATGTTTTATTATTTATATATCTTGAGCAAGAAAGAAAATAGAGATGTGTTTGTATATGTTTATATGTTTATATTTATATATAATTACATTTATATGTAATACATTATTGTATTACATATAGTTACATATATTGTATATGTTTATATGTTTATTATATTTGTATATAATTACATTTATATGTATATTATATATGTATATGTTTAGAATAGTTACTATTTTATTTTCTTTTAGACAAGGTCTTGCTCTGTTGCAGTAACATGATCATAGCTCACAGCGACCTCAAATTCTTGGGCTCAAACAATCCTCCTACCTACCTCAGCATCTTAAGTTGCTGGGACAATAGGCATATCCCACCACACTCAGCTAATTTTTTGTAGTGTCAGCTATGTCCCTGTGTTGCACAGACTGGTCTCAAACTCCTGGATTCGAGCAATCTTGCGTTGGCTTTCCAAAGTGCTAGCATTACAGGTATGAGAAACCAGGCCTGGTCTAGGTCTAGAGTATTCACTTTTAGAAAAGAATAAATAAACTGTTAACAGTGGAGAGTAATGCCACAGGATATTTTCTGTTCATTTTATATCATCATATACTGTTTAATTGTTTTACTTAAACATAGAACATTTTAAGTAAAAAAAAAAAAGCCTGTTTAAAATTCAGTGTAGAGCATTACTCTGAAGCACAACTTTGGACCCTCTCGGACTACAGTCTATTGGAACTTTGGGCACAAAACACTGAAAACGAAGCTGAAGGAAGGTAAGTCTTGCTGTAGAAAGTGACTTGTTAGACATCAAACATTGAAGAGATTATTGTACTTATCAAGACAGAGCATCTTTTTAGCACCTGTAAAAGCCTTTAATCTTTGTTCCCAGAAAATGGGAAATCTTGGTTATACAAAATACACTGTGTTTGGAAAGGCAAACAGTTTGTCCCCAAGGCGTGTGACAATCCGGCAATAGGAGAAGGTAAGGTTAGGCTGGTTTGGAGAAGGCTCGGATCTGTTTGCCACTGGAGACCGGCACAGGGCAAGGCCAGCAGCTGGCATAAGCTGTGGGGGGCGAGAGCAGTGGTCTATTTTGCAATCTTTTTGAATTCAGAGCTGACAGAGAAGGAGAAATGACAACTCTGAAGATTCCATTGATCCTACAAAGTCCTTAGGGCTCTGGGTCACTCAGTTGTCCACATCAGACCTCAGAGAAGTTCAAGTTGAATTTTAAATAGGTGTGTATATGGGTAGGAAGCCTGGTAACTTCTAACCCAATCCAAGACCATACCATAGAAGTGATGGGCAAGTGTCCAAGTGGTCCCATCTTAAAAGGCTCTGAAGAGAGTGCAGTGTCTGCATTCCACTTAGATGCTGGATGGAGAACTGTGTGGGTGTTTAACTGAGTTGGCTCAGGCAGGTGCTATGCACACTGGGCACCTGCACACCTACGCACCAACACATGTGTATGCTTATCACTTGCTGGTTACTCTACACTGCTTGCCAGGTGCTGTCCTATGCACTTTATCTCTGTCGGGCCATTTACCTGTCAACACTGATACCACAGCACCATGAGGTATCAGAGCCCGCCCTCTGTATTTTCCAGGTTAAGAAAATGAGGATCACATAGGGGTCCAACATCAAGTGGCAGAGCTGTTTCAAACATCCAGTTTCTGTTTCCAAAGGTCCCATGTTTACTTGTCTGCTTTACTGCCTCCTGCTTCCTGAGCACATGCCGTGTTTACCATGAACATGACACAGCCTGTAGCTGCTGTGAAGCAGGGAAGCACATGGGTGCGCACAGAGCAGCTGGGAAAGCTTGTCTTTCAGAGACATGCAGCAACCTCTTCCCTAAGTTTCCTGGCATTTACAGATTCTGAAACAGATGGAGGGATTAAGGGAAGCCTAAGATATTTACTAAACTCCTCCTACCAAGAGGAATTCCCCTTTCGGGTATAATTAAAATTGTCTGATCTCTGAGACTTTAGCGAAATGTTAAGTTGGTGTTTTTAGAAAAGATTTTTAATAATACTGTGGATCACGTCTTCTTTAATAGTTTTCCCACGGGGCAGAGATGCACACCTCCACCCTGTGGGTCATTACTAAAATACAAAGCAGTATTGTGAAACCGCAGTTATGCAAAGGCAGTTTGCTAGGTTTGAAGCTTTCTGTTTGGCAACTTAGTTAAGGGTTAGAGTTCAGGGAAGGGAGGGGAATGACTGATTAGCATGCAGTGCTTTTGTCAGAGCTTTATGGGCATCTGTTCCTGGTGAGGGTGGCTCCTGTCAATAGAATGTGAGCAGAGGGGTTGAACAGGCCGTTAATTCACAGAGGAAGACATGCAAATGACCTGCCAACTTAAGGAAAGAGCCTGACAATAAAGCTTGCAAGTTCATCAAAGTAAGGTGGTGTAGTTTTTTTTTTTTTTTTTTTTTTAAATCAGATTGGTAATGATGATTTGTGTCAATTTCAAGCCTTGGGGAGGATGCAAGAAAAGTGGCCACCTGAACCACTGCAGAGGCAGTGTACACAGGGGCCTGGACTCAGGTGGACAAATAATGAACATGCTCCTCCCTCCTGAGTAGGGGCTGCTCTTTTAGGACAACCAGTAGCCATTTCTAAATAAACTCTGACACAAGTGCACCAGAAAACACATAAACATGTTTAATGTAACACTAGTAGAAAAGAAGTGGAAATAATTTCAACATCCATCAGTAAGAAAATGGATAAATATTATGTAGTTTATTCATACAATGAACTACTACTGAGCAGTTGTAATAGGTCAGTCCAATCTACATATTTCTTTGATAGACCTGAAAAACATGAATACACAATCATACAGTACAATCATAAAATGTGCTTACATGTTGTTTACGGATGCTTACACACATGCAGTGCATTTACATACGTAACACAGTCACTATAAACAATTGACCAAATGGATGTGCTCCAAACCCAGGGTAGTGTGAGGAGAGTGAGACTTAGTGTGAGGATTAGGGTGGGCTCTCATTATATCTGTAATATTTTCTTTATTACTAATAATAAAATGGGTAAATGGAAATAAACAAATATTTCAACAGTTGATGACCCTCATAGTGGGAACATTGGTGCTTGTCACATCTAGTATTTGTAGTATTCTATGTGTCTTATAAATTTCTCCAAATTAAAGACATGACCTAATGTAAGTGTCAGCGTGAGTGTGAGCTGTGCTGCACACTGAAGGGTGATACTCATGCTTTGAGCCCTGGGCATGTATCAGCCACTCTCAGGTCTTCTCAGGAATGTCTCAGTGCTGCTACTCTTCAAGTCCTAGAGGGGAGGCTTGTCACTGCCACAGGTCCCACCGTACAACAATGCCTGGGAGAGAACCCTCTTCGTGCAACCCCCGTCATTCCTGTGACATTGTAGAGCATTTACTCTTGAGTAGACTACAGCCTGTTGGATTTACCAAGGCAGAACGTGTGAAAATATGTGTACTTGGCTCGGCGCCTGTGGCTCAAGTGGCTAAGGCGCCAGCCACATACACCTAAGGTGGCGGGTTCGAATCCCCA